CCCCGCCCGGCGCCTCCATGAGGGCCGCGTGCGGGGTCGCTATGGTAACGCGCGCTCCGGGCCGGCGGGCAGCGGGCAGCGACCTGAGGGGACGGGCGGACCGGAGAGTGGCGGAGACCCGCGTCCGTGCTCACGGCCACGGCCCGGCGCCCATCGCAGCGCGACGGCGGACTTGGACGCTCCCGGGCGGCGGCAGCGGCGGCGGCAGCGGCAGCAGAGGAGACGAGGCGGCTGCTCTGCAATTCCCGCTCTGGGAACCGGCTTCCCACCGACCGGTGCGCCGCGCGACTTCCTGGAGAACGCGCTGATGTCACGGGGCGCGGAGGAGGCGTGCGTGCATACGTGCGCAACGGCGGCCTTCGAGTAAACACAAACGCCCACGCGAAGGCCGGAAAGGGCTGCGCCACTGACTTTACCGGAAACACAGAGGAACAAACCTCGTGGTAACAGTTGTTACCGCTCCCTGTTTACCTTCTGAGGTTCGACGTCGCGGAACTACGAGTCCCGGCATGCAACGCGGACCACCTTCCGAAGGCTCGTTACGCCCTGATGGAACTATCAGTCCCAGTAGGCAACGCTGGCCGCCGCCCTACAACGTTATCATCTGTGCCCCGGTGATGGGAGACTACAAGTTCCGGCATATTACAAGGGCCGCAGTTTTACAACGTTGCACATGACGTGGTGGAACTACAAATCCCGTCCTCTCACGTGGGCCGACGCTTAACTACGAATCCCCGGTATGCAATGTAGCCACTCTCATACAGCGTTACTGGTTCTGGCGTTAGGGGACTACGAGTCCCGACGTGCAACGTAGGCAGCTGTCCTACAACGTTACGTATTAAGGCCAGGAGTTGAGGGACTACGAATCCCGGCATGCAACGAGAGTCATTGTCCCGCAACATTCAGTTCTGGGGCCGACCTCGAAGAACTACGACTCCCGGCATGCCACGCGCCTGCGATCCTAGGTGAATGGACTCACTTGTGGCTCCCCCAGATTCCGGTTACTTTGCCGACTGGGCTGTTTGACAATGTCCTGGGCGCATCAGAGTTTGAAAGAAAGAGGTGGCGAAGTTCATATTACCGCTGCCCAATTTACCTCAGTGAACACAACGCCTCCTGACCCAAAGGAAGGGAAAGCCTAAGTTGAAGACAGGGGAAATGGGCCCCAGCTAGAAAAGTACAATGGAACCAAAAGGAGTAAATTGCTTACATTTTGAAGCTTACATGGACCGAGACACTGCCCTTCCTAGTTCTCGTCTATCTCCTAACTTTTTAAAGGAGAGCTCTGATACGAGTCAGGCTGCTAATCTCATGGTCATCAGTTCCAAACTAGCAGCCGTTCCAACTCAGGAGAAAGATGAGGCTTTCTGCTCCCGTAAAGACTTAGTTGTTGTAGTTGTTGCTGTTAGGAGCCATCGAGTGGGTACCCACTCATAGCGAAGACTTACAGCCTTGGAAACCGCCTACAGGGTCGCTTTGGGTCAGAACCAGCTCCAGGCACACCACCACCATTCTAAGGCGGTAATAACTGAGGAGCCTTGCTGGCGCAGTGGATTAAGCGTTGATCTGGATGCCCTAGTCAACTAGGCACTCCCTTGGGAGAAAGATGAGGCAGTTAGCGCTCCTAAATATTGCAGCTTTGGAAACCCTATAGTGCCGTTTTACTCTATCCTACAACATACATTAAGGAGCTCTGGTAGTGTAGTGGTTAAGAGTCAGGCTGCTAACCTCAAGGCCAACTAGTTCAAAACTACCAGCAGTGCCGCGGGAGAAAGATGAGGCTTTCTGCTACCATAATTATTTACAGCCTCGGAAACCCTGTGCAGGGTCGCTATGAGTCAGAACCAACTCCACGGCACACCACTACCACCACCACCACAGCATACATTGACAGAGAACTTCCAGAGGTTCTAGCCGAATTCAGAAGAGGCCGTGGAACGAGAGATATCATTGCGGATGTCCGATGGATCTTGGCTGAAAGCAGAGAATATCAGAAAGATGTTTACCTGTGCTTTATTAACTATGCAAAGGCTTTCGATTGTGTGGCTCCTGACAAGCTATGGACAACATTGCGAAGTATGAGTATTCCAAAAACACTTATGCTTATGAGGAATCTGTACATGGCCCAACAGAACAAGGGAACAGAACATGGGAACACTGAATGGTTTAAACTTAAGAAAGGTATGCGACGGGGTTGTATTCTTTCTCCACACTTATTCAACCTGAGCAAATAATAAGAGAAGCTGGGTTCTATGAAGAAAAACGTGGCGTCAGGATTGGAGGAAGACTCATTAACATCCTGCGATATGCAGATGATACAACCTTGCTTGCTCAAAGTGAAGAGGACTTATTTACTGATGAAGATCAAAGAGCACAGCCTTCAGTATGGATTGCATCTCAATGTCAAGAAAACAAACATCCTCACCACTGGACCAATAAACAACATTCTTATCAACGGAGAAATTATTGAAGTTGTCAAGGACTTCATTCTTCTTAGATCAACTATCAACACTCATGGAAGCAGCAGACAAGAGATCAAACGACGTGTTGCATTAGGCAAATCTGCTGCACAGGAACTTTTTAAAGTGTTGAAGAGCAAACATCTCAGCTTGAGGACTAAGGTGCACCTAACCCAAGCCATGGTATTTTCAATAACCTCATTTGCATGCGAAAGCTGGACAGTGAATAAGGAAGACTGTAGAAGAATTGATGCTTTTGAGTTATAGTCTTGGAGAATATTGAAAGTGCCATAGGCTGCCAAAAGAACCAACAGATCTGTGTTGGAAGAAGTGCAGTCAGAGTGTTCCTTGGAGGCCAGGATGGCCAAACTTCGTCTCTCATACTTCGGACATATTCAGGAAGGACCAGTCGCTGGAGAAAGATGCCATGTTTGGTAAGGTGGAGGGTCAGAGAGAAAGAGGAAGACCCCCAGCGAGATGGTTTGGCACAATGGCAGCATCAATGGGGTCAAGTGTGGCAACAATTGTGAGATTGGCCCAGGACCGCTTAGTGTTTTGTTGTGTTGTACATAGAGTTGCTATGAGTTGGTACTGACTCAATGGCACCTAACAACAACAACCACAACAGGGTTGATCAAAGACCAAAGCCTGCTGTGTAGGTTGCACCTGGACGTAAAGAAAGCAGAAATCCTCACCACTTGACCAGCAACATCATGATAGCTGTAGAAAAGATTGAAGTTATCAAAGATTTCATTTTGCTCAGATCAACCATCAACACTCATGGAAGCAGCAATCAAATAATCAAATGTCATATGGCACTAGGCAAATCTGCACAAGATCTCTTTAAAGTGTTCAGCAACACCAGTGTCAGCTTGAGGACTAAGGTGCGCCTGAGCCAAGCCATGGTATTTTCAATAACCTAATACACATGTGAAAGCTGGACAGTGAATAAGGAAGACATGGAATAATTGATGCATTTGAACTATGGTGTTGGAGGAGAATATTAAAAGTACCATGGACTGCCAAAAGAACAAACCAGTCTGTGTTGGAAGACGTGAAGCCAGGATGGCCAGACTCTGTCTTTCATACTTTGGACATGTCAGGAGGGACCAGTCCCTGGAGAAGGAGACCATGTTTGGTAAAGGGGAGGCTCAGAAGATAAGAGGAAGTGCCCCAGCGAGATGGACTGGCACAGTGGCAGCAGCAGTGGGCTCAAGTGTATCAACGGTTGTGGGGTTGACACAGGACCAGGCAGTGTTCCATTCTGGTGAGCATGAGGTCACTATGAGTGGGTACCAACTGGGTGTCACCTAACAACAACAACCACACAGAGTCGCTATGAGTTGGAATTGACTCAAGGACAGTTGGTCTGATTATTTTTAGTAAGACTAATTTATTTGTTTTTAGGTGTCAGTTGGTTCTGACTCATAGTGACCCTCTACACAACAGAATGAAACGCTGCCAATTCCTATACTAGCCTCACCATTGTTACGCTTAAGCCCACTCCTGCTGCCACGCACGGGGTCAGTCCTTCTCCAGGGCCTAGTTCCTGCTGATAACACGGCTGTGGTATGAATCTCTCCATCCTCGCTGCTAAGGAGCATCTGGCTCTGCTTCTTCCAAGACAGTTTTGCTTGTTCTTCGGGCAGTCCATGGTGCTTTTAATGTGCTTCTGCAACACCATAACTCAAATGCATCCGTTGGTTCTTCTATGATCTTCCTGATTCGTTCACTGCTGTCTTTGCTCTTGATCACTTTTTTGCAGCAAATTTGTGTAATGCAATGCATCGTTTGATTTCTTGATTGCTGCTTCCTTGATTACGGATCCAGGCAAAATGAAGTCTTTGACAACTTCAATCCTTTCTCCATTTCTCATGCCTTTATTTATTGCTGTAGCTGTGAGAATTTTTGTTTTCTTTACGTTGAGGTGAAGTTCATATTGGAGGCTATAGTCTTTGATCTTCAGCAGTATTTTAAATCCTCTAATAATTTACTTGGTTTTGTTAAGTACCGTTGACTCATTCTGACTCATAGTGACCCCATATAGGGTTTCCAAGGAGCAGCTGGTAGGTTTGAACCACCGACTTAGTGGTGAGCAGCCAAGTATTTAGCCTACAGTGCCACACCAGGACGCCAATAATTTAATCAATCCTAGTTAACCATTAGACAACATCACTAATATCGCATGTAAGTAAAATTTTCCTAAAGATAATTCAATAACAGCTGCAACCACACATCGTTAGAGAACTGCCAGAGGTTTAAGTCAGATTTAGAAGAGGCCATGGAATCAGGGATATCATTGTTGATGTCAGATGGAAAGCAGAGAATACCAGAAAGATGTTTCCCTGTGCTTTATTGACTATGCAAAGGCTTTCAGTTGTGTGGATCATGACAAGCTATGGACAACGTTGCAGAGAATGAGTTTTCTGAACACTTAATTGTGCTCATGAGGAACCTGTACATAGACCAAGAGGCAGTTGTTCAAACAAACAAGGGTACACTGAATGGTTTAAAATTAGGAAAGGTGTGTGCCAGGGGTATATTCTTTCAGCATACTTATTCAATCTATTTGCTGAGCACATAATCCGAGAAGTTGGATTATATGAAGAAGAACATGGCATCAGAGTTGGAGGAAGACTCATTCATTAACAACCCGCGATATGCAGATGATACAACCTTGCTTGCTGAAAGCGGACTTGAATACTTACTGATGAAGATCAAAGACCACAACCTTTGATATGGGTTGCACCTCAATGTAAAGAAAACAAAAATCCTGACCACTGGACCAATAAACAACATCCGTATAAATTGAGAAAAGATTGAAGTTTTCAAAGACTTCATTTTTCTCAAAACACTCATGGAAGCAGCAGTCAAGAAATTAAATGACATATTGCATTAGGCAAATCTGCTGCACAAGACCTCTTTAAAATGTTGAAGAGCAAAATGTCAGTTTGAGGATTAAGGTGCGCCTGACCCAAGCCATGGTATTTTTAGTAACCTCATATGCATGTGAGAGTTGGACAGTGAATAAGGAAGACCATAGAATTGATGCATTTGAGTCGTGGTGTTGGAGGAGAATATTGAAAGTGCCATGGCCTGCCAAAAGAACCAACAGCTTTGTGTTGGAAGAAGTGCAGTCAGAGTGCTCCTTGGAGGCCAGGAGGGCCAAGCTTTGCCTCTCATACTTTGGACACATTATCAGGTAGGAACCAGTCTCTGGAGAAGGCTATTGTGTTTGGTAAGGTGGAGGGTCAGAAACAAAGAGGAAGACTCCCAACGAGATGATTGACACAGTGGCAGCAGCAAAGGGCTAAAACCATAGCAATGACTGTGAGGTGAGCCCAGGATCAGGAAGTGTTTCATTCTGTTGTGTGTAGAGTCACTATGACTTGGTACGGACTTGATGGCACCTAACA